GCAGCGACCTCCTCAAGTTAAGCACAGTGAAGCATTAGTGAAGCTGATCCCAAGCTTTACTAACCAAGACTATAGACGGAAGCTTTTTAGTGTCTAGTCTGAGGAAGTCTGGGATTTGCTTCTCTTTAAGATCTTGCTTCTCTCACAAAAACGGTACAGATTTCTTTTACCTCCTTGGTAAACTTCCAGGGCAAGCAAAGGCCAGGGCGCCTTACCACCTATGGCCACAAGGGGATGCTCCGCGCTTCTTCCTTCCACCCGCGCTCTAGGGCGAACCTCTTTTGGGTCCTCCTGGGGGAGCCCGAGAGGCCCTCGCAGAGGACAAGGAGCCCTTTCATCCGGGCTTTTTCACGTCGAGGGGGGGCTGGAAACATTGTACCCAACGGTCCCTCCCTCTTCATTTGCATGTTCACTCCTTACCTCTTTTGACATCCACAAGCAAGGGAAGTCTAGCAGTCAATTTTCAGTGAAAAAAGTAGATTTTTAAAATACATATATATATTTCAGGACATCAAATGTCTTTTCCCCAATATCCTAGTTCTTAAGCTTGGATTGGAGATGTGTTGATACTTTTAGGAAAGTGGAGAGCTAGAAGCTGGAGCCTCGCTTCTCTCAGCTGCCCGTGTGTGGCCTGGGGGGCGATGTCTGGGGCCTTGGAATAAAAACACCTCTGTAAGCAGGCTATTTTGCCTTGCTTGGCATACCAGAGACAATAGTTCTGAAAGTGAGGGATTCTATATGTGACAGGTGGGTGACAAAAAGAACTCAAAATAGAGTTTTATAAAATGGATATTAGCATAACCACTGCTAAGTGGGGTTGAGGGAGCACAGCTTCCTATTCCATTTGTGACAATAAAACACTTAGTGAGGATAAGCCACTGAAGATTAAGACTATCTGTGTACTCACTATCCTACTATCCTGTTTTACTTCTGACTATCCTAAAATCTTTCAGAGGAGCTAATTGGCTATAGGCAAGGGACTAAGTTTAAACTGAGAACACAGGAGAACTATCTTAGTAACCAAAGACCCTCTTATCAATGGAATAGAACAAGAAGGAGAGAATTTTGTAAAGATTTTATTTTTAATCTACACCCAATGTGGAGCTCAAACTCACAAACTCACATGCTGTGCCCACTGAGCCAGCCAGGTGCCCCAGAAGAGAATTTTGATAAAGTTTTTTGTGTTTTGTTTTTGTTTTGTTTTTTACTGTGATTGTGTCTCATCTCCCAGTGGGCTGGTGCTCTGGCAGAGCCCATGTTTGAGAGAGAGAAAACAGGACTGGGGAGGGCGTTCTCACGGGGAAGCTCACAGTTGGACCAGCCTTGGCCAGAGAGGGGTGGAGGCTTTCAGAGTTTGCTGATTCTAAGGTTTTTGCTGATACTTAAATTTAAAGAACAAAGAATTCACAAGAGACTGTGACTACAGTTGTCATACTTAGATATCTGAAGTTCAACAACACAAGGGCTGACTCTAGTATGGGAATAAGGAGAATGCTGTTTTCGTCTGAGCTCCTGCACTACCCAGAGAGCTCCTTCACCTCCCTAGGAGTGAGTTTCCTCCCCTGAAAAGTGAGAGTCTCTTTGTGCTTCCATGTGAGAGGCAAGAATTGGCTCACCCGGCGTGTTTTCCTCTCCTCCTCTGCTGCCAGGAAACTCAAGTAAGATTCAAAGATTTAAGGAACTCTTCAGGCCCCTGGGCTTGATATTTCCTTCCTTGTTTTGACCTTCTGTTCTAACTTTTGTTTTTTTCTGATCTTAGTGGTTTTTTAAAAAATTTTTAATGTTTATTTTTGAGAGACAGAGCATGAGTGGGGGAGGGGCAGAGAGAGAGGGAGACACAGAACCCGAAGCAGGCTCCAGGCTCTGAGCTATCAGCACAGAGCCTGATGCAGGGCTTGAACCCACAAACCGTGAGATCATGACCTGAGCTGAAGTAGGATGCTTAACCGACTGAGCCACCCAGGCGCCCCTTTCATGTTTTTTTATTGCACAGATTTTTTACACTGCATCTCTAATCCTGTGTGTAATGAGCATGGTGTAAAAAAATGGTAAAGTGGGAGGGGGGGTCCCAGTAGAGGAGTTCCAGTGACCCTTACAACACTGATGTTCTGTGATTCTTAAGGGAAAAGCCACTGCACATATCTGAAGGTATCAGATTTGCGTGGAAGGGAGCTCGCTTACTGAGGGTCTTAAAGGTTTCAATAAACCTGTAAGGAGGGCTGGCCAGGATGTTCTACATCACTGGCACATGTCTGCAAAGGAGCCAGCACTTTGTGCTACTTTATAGGAAGATGGCTATTCTCTTGGGACTTTTATTATTTAAAAAATTGTTTGTTTAATGTTTATTTATTTTTGGAAGAGACAGAGAGAGAGACAGAGTGCAAATGGGGGAGGGGCAGAGATAGAGGGAGACACAGAATCTGAAGCAGGCTCCAGGCTCTGAGCTCTGAGCTGTCAAGCACAGCTCAAAGCCTGATGCAGGGCTTGAACTCAAGAACTGCAAGATCATGACCTGAGCCAAAGTCGGATGCTCAACTGACTGAGCCACCCAGACACCCCTCTCTTGGGACTTTTAGACTTGCCCTGTGAGAAATCTGGGGGGAGAAATGCCTGTCTGAGGCAGGAGTCAAGAATCAGAAGCTGTATCAAAAACTCCAAGGAGTTTTGATGTTACACTTGAATTTAAGAAAGCCCAAGGGAGGGGTGCCTTGGTGGCTCAGTTGGTTAAGTGTCTGACTCTTGATCTCAGCTCAGGTCATGATCTTAGGGTCCTGAGCCCAGGCCCCACGTTGGGTTCTGGGCTGGGTGTGAAGCCAACTTAAGGAAAAATAAAAGAGAGAGAGAGAGAGAAAGAGGAAGGAAGGAAGGAAGGAAGGAAGGAAGGAAGGAAGGGAGCCCGAGGGAATGTGTAAATGTATTTTGGGGGTGGGAGAGATTGGCTGAGAATAATACTTCATCTATTTCATCCATATGCTCATTTTGACTTTTTACTGTATCAAGTACTTTGATAGGGCTTGAATTACTTTGAGTGTTTATATAAGAATTAATTACATATGTAACATCATGTATATCAAAGACATACTCCTACTTCGAGTAAATAAAAAGCTTTAAAATATATACTAAATAAATATCAATTACTAAGCAGTTATTCATTTTTGAAATATCACTTTACCAAAGGACCCATCATGGGTTCTAATAAATGTCCATATATGATTTGTTTTGACAAGGACTTTCCCAAGAGCACCGCTGCTCTGTAAACAGAAGAATTATACAGATGTTCTGGGGTTGATCGATTTAGATTTGGTTCTGATTTGTGCCATGAAGCCAACAGTAAGTTGGAGAAATATGTTTCAAAGCCAGAGATGAAAGTTTGGATAATTACGATCTATTCCTGAACACAAAGATTTGGTGCTATCTAGAACCCATGAAAACTGAACAATTTGTTCTTTTCTGCTGTAAGTCAGATCTGTTTTCCTTATGCCTTAAAATAGCCTCTGTCTTGAGTTTTCATTGGCCAGATTCTACTGGTTTAGTTCCATCCTGTTAGTTTTCTTGAACAAAGTCATGCTACCTAACGTTTTTTTAGACTTCCAGGACACCAGTCACATAAACTCCTCTTTACCATATTGGGGGATAATGAAAACTTAGATTTGCTTTTTCCTCTGAGAAGGGTGGCAGGTGGGGGGATCCCGTTCATCTTTTCTGTCAGGGACGGATCTGCTTTCTGTAGAGGTAGACTCTGGACATCTCTATGCTTTCTCATCATAAGAGCTTATGTTTATTTATGCATGATTACGTAACTCCTCACCATAACTTCTGAGGTGGGCGCTAACTTACCACCATGTACAGATGAGCAAATTGAGGCAAGTTGCCCTGGGTTCCATGTTGAATAGGAGGTAGAGCCCAGGATAGGATCAGGTCTGACTGCTCCTGAGCTCACCTTCTTAATGACAACCCTAGACTACATCACAGAATCCATAAGCTGGTCTGGAGTATGAAAAATCAAGCCTGAGTGGTAGAGATAGGAAGATCGAAAGGTATCTAAAGGATGTAGGAATCTGGATCTATAGCTGTAGGGGAGTAAGCAGTTGATTATGACTTATATGGGTCAAAGAGAGTTGTTTGCTTGATTTACCTAGGTAACTGGCCCCATACTTTTCTCTTTGGAAAGACCTGGTCCAAAAGTAACCTGTGTTAGACATTTTTGCTTTTAAAATTTTCAGGTACTTTTTTTTTTTTAACTGGCTTTTGGTTATCTGTCTGTTAAGAGTTTATCTGTTTGGTTTACAGTCTACCTATCTGGGTAAATTTGTCCCATTGGGAAATGAGACATTCTATTTTAATGTAAAAAGTTGACAGTGACGAGTGGCCAGAAGTGTATAGTTCAAAGAGCTCAAATAAAAAAAAGAAAAGATGATATAAAGACAGTGTTGGGATTTGAGGGAGTCCACGAAGACCATTTGCTCTTTCCTGCTTTCGTTATACATTGATTGAGAAATGTCTAAAGAGGAAGACATATGGAGACTACAGTATTCCCTTAATTACAGAGAAAGTGGGTCCTGGAAAATGAGGGAGCAGGGTTCCTAATGTGGTCCCCTGCCTCTCAGTAATGGGCAGCGCTGTCTTGGGGCAGGGCCCCTGTCTCCAGGAACTGAGCTCATCCATGGAAAGTTTAGCACACGGAGGAACGTGTTCTAGGCTAAGAGGGCAGAGCTGGGCTCCCTCTGCTTGGGTTTTCCTCCAAGTTCCCAAGTCACATGAGCCACCCCAGTGCTCCAGTGTTGAAAGGGGGGAAGGGCTGAATGTGGCTGGGAGTTTGACCATAAAGGAAGTGGACAAAACCTCAGGAAAAGGGAAGACTGACTGCCTAACAAATTGCAAGGAGAATCAGAGCCTTGGTTCTCTCTCTTTGGGAGTAAATTTGATATTTGTATTTAGCATCTATAAACATGGAAGCAGGTAGGTAAATTAACTTGCTTTTGTTCTATTTAAACTTTTAGATTCTTGGCTATCAGAACACCGTCTTCTTTGGTGGAGACTGTATATCCATGATCGATTACCTCTTTTGGCCCTGGTTTGAGCGGCTGGATGTGTATGGAATAGCTGAGTAAGACATTTGACTGTGGGGTTGCACTGGGTAACAAGCAGAATGACCAGTCACACAGCATGGAAAGTTAGGGATATTTAAAATAGATGAAGTTGCCCGGTGGACCTGGGGAGACCGTGTAGGGGTCCGCAGCCAGAACATGTTCTTTGTTTCGTTGCTCAGAGACGTTGAACTTGTATTGGGACCTGCTGTACTCCCAGTCCAGCGCATAATTGGGCGCTGGACAATTATGGTGTTGGGGAACCAGGTCCTGCTCCGGTACAAGTGCATCTGTACCCTCACGATGCGCGGGCTCACACCTACCCAGCCATGCTCTCCTGCACCTCCCACTTTGGCTGTCTCCAAAGGAAGATCACATAAAACATAGTTAGATATTTTAAACTATGTCTCCTCTGGAGATGGAGTACTGAACCACGGATCGGGAACCCTCACCTCTTCCTGGATTTCCCACTCACCAGTGGTACTATTTTGAGCAAATCACTTCCATATCCTAGACCTAAATTTCCTGATCCATCTTTGAAAGGGCTGGGTCAGCTCCATTATTTCAAGGTTTGATGATGGTTTTACTGATTTTTAAAAAGTGTTTTTGGAAACGACTTGTCTTGTTTCAAACTCCCTAAAGTAAAATCTAACAATGACAGAAGAATGTTTCTTTTTGTGGCGGGTGGGGAGGGGGGGTGTCCTTTTGTTGGTAAACAGTGAAGCCCAGACACCTTACTTCCTGGAACAATCAGTCCACAAGCATTTTAACTTGTGAAAAGCAACAACAACAACTTCTGTAAATTCCAAACATGCACAGCTGTTCCCCAAATGAGCTTTTCCTCCAGTCAATGATCATGACCAGTTGGATAATAAGGTAACCAAGATAACTTCATTGCCCAAACAAACCAGTCTTTTGTATCTTGTCAATCTAAGAAGCACGCCTGCCACCTTTACCCATGGCTTCCCTTTCAGACAAGCTAACCGTTCTTTCCTGTCCTGCAGCTGTTTGAACCACACGCCAGCTCTCCGGCTCTGGACAGCAGCCATGAAGCAGGACCCCACAGTGTGCGCCCTTCTCATAGATAGGAGCATTTTCCTGGGCTTCTTGAATCTTTATTTTCAGAACAACCCTGATGCTTTTGATTATGGGCTAACTTGCTGAGTCTCAGTCTCCCCCTTCACATCCAGAATTCCCAAGCACGTCGTGACTCTACATCAGGGATTGTTTTGGTGGGTCAATCAATCTCTGTTCATTTTCTTTGAGGTTCTCAATAAACGTGGAGACAGAAAATGTATTCTTTCTCACAATCCGTTTGTATGACTCCTCAGGCCTCTACCTTCTGATGATTCTCAAGAAATCTCAAGTGCCCAGAGCCAATGTCCAAGCACATTTTGGGAGCCTGTGTGCCTCCTGGCTCCTTGGCCTTTGGCCCAGTTTGACCTCCAGATCACTGGTGCTCAGGCTGATGTGGAGGTTCAAGGCCTGCCCATCAATGATGTTCATCACTACGGATCGGGCCCCTCCACAACCTCCCTGGAGAGAGGAAAGCTGGAGAAGAGGAAGAGGGAAACACTCCAGGCCCAAATACTCTCCATTTGGCAACTGAAAGCTGCTATCCACATGGGCATGCATGTGTATCATTCTTGTTCACACTTTGGCACTGGCCTGGGAGACACCGAGGGTCTTGTGACTAAAAAAATCCTGAAGCAGGAAATGAAACACCCGCTGTTCCCCTAGACCGACTACGTCAGAATTTCACCAGTGCTGTAAGGGTTCAGGATGGCTCACAGAATGTTCTATAGCCAACATCCTGCCTTGAAAAAATAAACAACGCCCCAAACCCAGTCACAGGCAAAGGTCACTTGGTTGCATTTGCGTCACACACACTTTCACTTGGTCTCAACAGATACCTCTGGTTGCCTGCTGTGTACCAAGCCCTGGGCCATGTGGGGGCGAAAGATGACAAAAACACAGGAGCCCCTGGTCATTCCATTCATCTTGGTGGAGGCTGTAGACTTCGTGCTTTGGAGCTGGTTCTCTGGCAGTGGGAACGCTTGTCTTGGCCCCATATGGCACCTCGACTGGCTCTGCCCAGCACTGCTCATGACCGAGGGTGACCGGGGGTGCTGGCAGGAACCGGATGCTGGCAGCTTCTATCACTTACCCCATAGGAGTGGGCCAGGGCTGTCCAATGCCATCTTATGTCCAGGTCTGGGGATCAGCCTGTCATCATTTCAGCTCTGTTCATGCTGAACCTCTTCTTAGCTTCCCAGCCGTGGCGAAAGACCAGGCAGTAGTGGGAGTGATGTTGTGACTTGTCAGTGCCCACTGAGCTGTCTGCAGCCCCTGCCTCTGACTCAGCCCAGCCAGCCCTGTTTCTCCCCACGTCTCAGCCCAGCCCGGCCATCTGCTGCCTCTGGGTGGATTTTGACTCATGTCAATAGCTACCGGTGTGGCTCTGAGCCAGCTGGACAGACGCAAGCCTGCTTTGGTGAGGTGGCCCGATCTGCCAGAACGGGCGCCACGTGACGGGGGCAGTGTGCTCAGGATGGGGCGCCCTGTTGCCATGGCACCTGAGCCAGAGCAGAGCAGTCTGCGAGTCACATTTTCCTGGATCTTTGCTTGGCCCCTGTGGCCTCTCCTAGGACTCGGGGACTGATCGGACTTTGCAGGTGTAAAATCCTGTGTGTTGGCAAGTATTTGGCGTGAGACCAAAATTGCTGTTGACACAACAGATAATGGCATGTCTTTGGATGACCAAAACCAAAGATGTTCTCTTTGGGGCTCTACATACTAATTTAGGAAGCTTGCAAAACCAAGAAACACAGAATGAGAAAAGTGCTCGTGGGGAGAGGTTGCAGGCTGGTGGCCCACAGCCCAGTTTGGGAGGTGAATGCTTTTCGGCCAGGCATGCTCTCTGCAGTTTGCTGGGGTCACCTGCACTGCCTTCCACGTCTTCCTTCTCCTTTATGCCACCCGTCTGCCCCACAGAGGAATCCGTTGTTAACCTCTGGATAAAAGTGTAAGGATTTAGCCTGGAGAAGAGAGGCAATTAAATAATGCTCCACAAGGAGCTTTTAAAATACCATGTCTTTCATTGCAGGAGAGGGCAGAAATAACATATTAGGGCTTTTTAAAAAATGCAACAATGAAAATAGGAATTCTTCCACCATCTCGTGTTGCAGAGATAACCGCTTTTAACAATCAGTGTATATCTTATAAAAGCACGTCAAACTTACAGATTTAAGCTGAAAGCTGTTCTCTATGTCCTGCGGTGTGGAAAAAGAGAAAAATAGTTTGAAAGAGCCTCATTGTCATATATGAGGTTAACATCCGAATCCTTGACCAGAGGAGGTCCTGTGAAGCTCCTGTCCCTAGTGGTTCTGAACTGGAGCCCATCTGGACCGAGTCCAGTGACATCCTGGCTTGGTTGGGGGTAGGCTGGGTGGCTGGGACAGCTGGAAGTGATGGTGGGGGTAGGGGGAGATGGTGACTGTTACTTGAAGTTCCTTCTAGCTCAAAATCTCTCTGATCTCAGACAAAGCAGCGGTTGAGCGTGCGAGTGGCTTAAATCTGAATTATAAGGCCCGAGCTGGAGTGTTTCTTCTGTGTGTGCCCTCCACATTGCCCTTTGGAGCTCTGGGTGCAGGTGTGTGTGTGTGTGTGTCTCTCTCCTTTGATTCCTCAGTTTCATGTGTTGCCTGGTCCACCTTTCCTTTGTCAAAGTCGAAGGCCTTCTTGACGCAGGGGGAATGCGCTCCTTTGCCTTCAGAACCAAGCTTGACTCTTGGGTGGTTTATGTTGGCCTGTTTCCATTTGTTACCTAAAATCTTCACAAATAACCAAATATCCAGCCCAAGGGGGCTCTTGTTGATTAGCCTCCAGCCTCTCTCTCCCTTTCCCTCCCACACAGAACACTGTACCCGCCCAGGAGACTCATTTCCCATTCATCTTCTTCTGTGAGTCCCTGGAAGCCTGGCCATTGGCATTTTCAAACATTTTGCTCCCATCTGGCTTGTCAGAGCTCTTGAGCCTTTGCGAATACTGTTTCCTCCACTCTCCCAGTCTTCCTCAGAGCAGCCTGTTGTTTTGTTTTGTTTTGTGTTTTGTTTTTTTCAACCAGCCTTTTCTCTGGCAAAGTTCAGATAAAAATTCTTCTTTGTGTAAAGAGATAGCATACCAGTGTGGATAAGAATAGGGCTGTTCGGTCAGATATTCTGAGCTCATGTCCTAGCTCTGCCACTCATTAAATTCTGTTGCTTAACCTTTCTGAGCATCAGTTTCTTATCTGTAAAATGAGACCATTGTGTTTATTTCATAGGGTTGTTGAAGAATACTGGGATCATCCACGTAAGGCCTCAACACTTGCCAGGTAAATGCTCAGTGAATGGTAGGAAACCCTATCATCATGGTGAGACTTCTGTGAAAGATCAGACTTGACCGCTGTGTTCATTCTCCCATGACTTTGTGGGACATGGTGTCCTACATTGTACATGGCTTGGTTCATGGTTTGGAGTGTTTCCTGGTTCTGTGTGTGGGTTTGATCTCAAATGACCTGTGAGCCCTTGGAAGCTGGGACTTTTCTCTCTCCTCCTCCTCTTCCTAGCACCCCAAGCCTAGTTTAATACTGAGTCCCCAGATCTTGCCACATTGTTGATGATAGTAAAATAAATACCCTTTCCCACGTTGCGAAGAAGTACTCAGATTCTCACTTCTTGGCCTGCTTGGAGCACACTTAAGGGAATGGATTTGAAATGACCAAGGGCCTGTGCAGCTGTTAGGCAGCTTGGGTGCCGCAGTTAGGCAGCTTGGGTGCCGCATGGAACACACCAGCACCCCAGGAGCATGCTGCTCATGGAAAGGATGATCACACACGTGCTCCAGGCAAGAGCTGTGGAATACTGTCTTGTCACTTTCTCCCAAGGATCCACTGCACCAAGACTCCCCTTGTAGACAGCAGGGGTCCAGGCGGCCTACTTTGTCAGTAGCAAATGGCCTGCAGGGCGTGGCTGAAAAGCAAAAATCAGCTCCCTGGCATACGGGGCAGGCTAGAAAGAGCATTTGCAAGCCCAAAGCAACTGAGGCAGGCTCTGACTGTGCAGCCCACCCAAGGGAGCCTAAGCGGACCCTCTCCTGGGAGCACAAGACAGGTTTCTGAACCTAGGATGGCTATCTGTTAGCAGGAGCAGCCTTTGATAAAAACAGATAAATCTGTTTCCAAAGCCATGCAATATTTGGGTTATTATGCTTAGGGATTTAGAAAGTCTCTCAAAGGATGTGTGTGTGTGTGTGTGTGTGTGTGTGTGTGTGTGTGTGTGTATTTGCATGTTTCTGTGCATTTCTGCCATAGGAGGAAGGTACCAGGATAAATAATTAGAAACTGTACAGATGGGAAGGTCAGGAATTGTTTTTTAAAAGTCCATCCTAAAATAAATGGTAATTGGCCATTCATTTGCTAAAGAGCAAGGTCCCCTTTGGAGACTTTATCTGGGACCATCTGATGGTAGCAGAGGTGTGGTGGGGAACACACATTCCACCTGCAGAGGCTGCCAGAGGAAGAGCTAGCTGGGGCTCTGCTAACCTAAAACCTAGGCCTCAGGTTTATGGAGGAAGGAACCCAAGGTGGAGTCAGAACAGACAACCTTCCGTTTATGGAGAGCTCACTATTTTTGTTTTTGTTGTCCTTGACTTTATCACTCAAGTCCTAAAGCTAAATCCTACCTTTTTACCCAATCTTCTCAATGGCTGTATGAGGTGGACAGCGTGATCCCATTTTATAGAAGAAACAGGCAAAACCAAGGCTCGTAGAAACTAAGAGACTTGCTGAGACTTGCTGGCATAGCTGGGATTTGAACACAGAACCCAAGCTCTTAGTCCCTGTGCCACTTACATGGTCTGGAATCGAACTCATTGGTCTTTGCACGGCTTTGTCATGAGAGAAGCTGGGTATCTAGTGGGCAGCACCTTACATGGGGGCCTCCATTTTGAGTGGGCACATGGAGACAGGGCAGGGGTCTGCACTTCCTTGTCTCTCTCTGGATCGCTAAACATTCAGGCTGAGTGATCTTGTTGCTCCAAGTCTGGTTCTGGATGGGTGGAGCTTTGGTAGCTTCCCTGCCTGGCCAGGTTATAAAATGTTGCAGGACACAAATGTGTGGAGA